ACTTGTTTGTTTGTAGCAAGTGAATTACTTACAGAGGTTTTTAAAGTGTGACTTGTTTGTTTGTAGCAAGTGAATTACTTACAGAGGAGGTTATAAAGTATGACTTGTTTGTTTGTAGCAAGTGAATTACTTACAGAGGTTTTTAAAGTGTGACTTGTTTGTTTGTAGCAAGTGAATTACTTACAGAGGAGGTTTTTAAAGTGGGTGTATGACTTGCTTGTTTGTAGTTAATCACAAAGCTACATGATGGCCTATCTGAGCGGTACCCAACGCGGGTATCGAACCCCGATTTTTAGCGATATAAGACTTCAGAATTACTGCTGCGTCACTCGACCGATTATAACATAGATAATCTGCAGGTAAATTATAGAGCATAAAATATATAATTTAGCTAGAGCTTTAATTAGGTTAAGCCTAACTCTATCTTGTTCTTCAAAGTGAAGTACTCGTTTACAAACTTAATTAAATTAAATAATAAATAAACAAAACTCGTTCGAAGTGTCTTACAGAAACGAGCCCACACTTAACTGCTGGTGTAGGAAGAAAGCCAATACTGCTATTGCCTGAGTGTTTTAAACAGGAATTTCTGTTAGAAGAATGACGAGAAACAGAAGAGTGACTGGATGAAGATATATATATATATATACTATTCCCAGTTTGCCCGTGAAGAAGAAAGGCCCACCTTCAACATTCGTCATCATCCCACTGTTAAGATGTCCATACCTGGGCGACATAAAATGTTACTGTTGCCTGGGAGTTACATCACCGAGAAGGAACAACACCCTTATCAGAAGTAACCCAACTCACCCACAGGAACCAGTAATAATTTTCAGTATTATCAGTAACAAGCTGACAAATCCATTCCATGCACGGGGAAGACATAGGGGCCAGGTTCTGGGGGACTATGAAGGTACGTGCCAAGTTTGTTGATAATTGGACCAGCGATTCGTCATTTATCGGTAGATAGACACACGTGATTACTTTTGTCAAATAATTAAAGGTTTAGAAAAGTATGAAGGAGATGCCGCTTCGCCCCTACGTTCGGAAGTCTCCGAACTGGACGAAACCTGCTTATCTCGTCTCGTATTATATATCATACGCTTAAAATAACAAGATTCTAGCATAATTCTAACAAGAACACGACTGTAGAATAATTCTTGGGCTTCTGCTTCTTGTCTTCGATGAATAATATCTCATAAAAAAGTTGTCTTGTTTTGGTTGGATCGTAGAATAGCAGAGGGTTGTTGACCAAAGTAGGTAAACATGCAAGTTTTCCAAACTATGCGTACATTACAAACATCAGGTTTAATACGTGTATAACCTGCCAAACCAAGGTGTTCAGACTTTGAACTTCTGAGTTCGATGACTAACCGATCGTCTCCACAAAATCACAACGTCTTACAGTTCGTTTACGTCATGAATGTTTGCGAAACGTTCTCCCGAAAACTTCCGTTTCAGAACCAGAAGTAACTTATTTTAAAAGTTGCTTCCTTCTGTCCACCACTTTCCTTTAAAACTGTTAAACCTACCGACACTTTGCTTTCTCTGCTAATCGCACTCCCCCACCCTCCCCTCTCCCAAGGTTCAAAGATCAGTAGATCTACCGATTTTTGACATTTCACAGTTTTAACGATTTAACAACTTTGGAGGACGTGTGTGTGTGTCCGAAGATTTACCACTGGCCCACAGGTAGAAAAAGCTAATTACTCGTTTTCCAAGACGTAAAAAAACCGTCAAACTTGCCTACAGATATTCTTCGTCTTTCTATAAAAGGCCTAGCTATAGTTCTATGGTCCGCTAATAAAGTGGCCGGCATGGCCAGGTGGATAAGGTGCTCGACTCGCAATCTGAGGGTCGTGGGTTCGAATCCCCGTCCCACCAAACATGCTCGCCCTTTCAGCCGTGGGGGCGTTATAATGTGACGGTCAATCCCACTATTCTTTGGTTAAAGAGTAGCCCAAGAGTTGGCGGTGGGTGGTGATGACTAGCTGCCTTCCCTCTAGTCTTACACTGCTAAATTAGGGACGGCTGGCTAGCCCTCGTGTAGCTTTGCGCGAAATTCAAAAACAAACAAACCGCCAATAAAGCGCTGTGTTTCGGCGAAACTAGTCTACTGCAGAGGGAAAAGCGAACCAAAGAATATACTAAGCCTCTATGCCAATTAGGGATTATTTCTCCTTTTCATCGAGATTACACGTTTTGGTGAAGAAAAGAAAAACTCACAAGTAAACCTACCAATCACAGTCATTTCCTCATATGTCTAAACTCGGTAAACTTGCCAATGTTTTGCTTTTTATACCAATCACACTTACCATTAGTTTCAAAGCTTTGTAATTCTACCCCAAACGCACCACACTATCCTAAAGGTACAAACTCTGTACACCTTCTGACATTTTGTCTTTCCTGCAGATGGTCAAAGATCGGTAAGAGCACCCATTCTTTGTCTTGTCTGTTAATCAAACACCGACAGGTGCACAGAATATTTGGTTCAAATTACTATAACCATTTAGAAAAAGATCTGAAGTAAAATACTGAGATTAAGTGGGAATCAAATCTGTATTTCTGATTGTTGGACACATTGCAATCAATTTAACCAGTATTCTATTGATTTTTAGAAAACTCCAACAAATGAAACATAACGATGTGTTACATGTAACTTTTAATACTGAGAGCACTGGTAATAAGGCTCTATAACTACACTCATTATCCTAGTTAAGTGTTAAGAAAGACCAGTAAACGAGGCCTAGATTAGTATTATTATTTGGTATGGGATCCGTGACATGCTTTGTATGCTTATAGGTTTTTCACACTAAACGTTATCACCTAGAAATAAAACCCTCATCTTTCATTATAATTTATTGTTTATTACGTTTACAACATTTAAAAATAATTTTTGAATTATATTACACTTTGAGAATTATTATTCATTGTTTTGCTGGATTATTTTACATTGTTAGCTGAGTTATTTTACGTTTTTGGTAGGGTTATTTTACGTTGTTAGCTGAGTTATTTTACGTTGTTAGCTGAGTTATTTTACATTGTTAGCTGGGTTATTTTACATTGTTAGCTGGTTATTTTACGTTGTTAGCTGTGTTATTTTACATTGTTAGCTGGGTTATTTTACATTGTTAGCTGGGTTATTTTACATTGTTAGCTGTGTTATTTTTACATTGTTAGCTGGGTTATTTTACGTTGTTAGCTAGCTAGGTTATTTAATATTGTTAGCTGGGTTATTTTACATTGTTAGTTGGGTTATTTTACGTTGTTAGCTGGGTTATTTAACATTGTTAGCTGGGTTATTTTACGTTGTTAGATGGGTTATTTAACATTGTTAGCTGTGTTATTTTACATTGTTAGCTGGGTTATTTTACGTTGTTAGCTAGCTAGGTTATTTAATATTGTTAGCTGTGTTATTTTACATTGTTAGTTGGGTTATTTTACGTTGTTAGCTGGTTTATTTTACGTTGTTAACTGGGTTATTTCACATTGTTAATTGGGTTATTTTACATTGTTAGCTGGGTTACTTTGCATTGTTGCGCCATGGACTAAGGTCAAACAAACTTATATTTCCTAAGATGGTCAGACTTCGTGAGATACTACTGGGATTTAGACTGGAAGCGAGGGTTTTTGTTTGTTGTTAGGCGTCAAACTGCACAATGGGATATCTGAGTTGTGCTC